GCGGGTGGGGCATGGGAGTGGGGAGGGTATAATGTGGGTGGGTGGGATTAGTGAGGGAGAGTACGGGAGGGGAAGCATAGAGTGCGTTTAGTAGAAACTCATCACAAGTGTGGTAATAAAAGCGCCAATGAAAGCGATAAGGTGAATAGAGGAAGGATCAACCGCTAGCAGAGTCGCGAATAAAATCCATGTTTTGGTATCACTTTGAGCAGTGTGTGATTGTTTACAACCTCACTATCCTACTTATATTATAATCCGTTAAGTTTGTCTGATTGCGTGTGTGTGTGTGTGAATGTAATGTGTGTCTGTATGTGTGTTTGCCGGGACACATCATAACTTCTTCAAAGGCAGGCGATAGTGCGCTCAATTTGATAAGTGATATAGGGGGTCGTGCAGGAACACTATTGGTAGGGGGCAAGAAGTGATAACAGCTGATAAGATAACATAAGGGGCCTTAGAAGGGGAGGGTCGCCAAACTTCTTAACGCGCGTCACAGCGACGATGGGACGTTGGTTCCAAGAACTTAAGATACGGGGGCCAGGATTGGAAGTGGTGGCAGGAAGTGATAAGAGCTGATAAGATACCATAAGGGGTCTTAGAAAGCGAGGGTCATCAAATTCATAGCACCGGCCACAGCGACAACGAGACATTGGTTCTAAGAAGTAAGACAGGGGCAGGGTGGGAACATTATTGGCGGGTGGAAGGAATTGATAACAGCTGATGAGATAGCCAGGAAAATTCAAAGCAGTTGTAGCAACACTGGGAACTGCCTCCAGCAAGTAATTTTCAAAAGGAGGTGTTAGGGAACATATTAATAGGTGGAAGATAAATCCTGTCATTGTCCTACAAGGGCTTTTGGGAGTCCGTATCTGCTCACATCACCGTAACCAAAGAATCAATGGGCGAAGGCTTAGTAAGTCAAGATGTTTCCTATCAGTAAAATCCCTCAGTTTAGCGGTCGGAATTGCTTCCACCGCTAAACGCTCGAGTTCCCCGAAAAAGGATGTATGGAGTTGTTGCCCAGTGAGGAATGATAAGAGCCACTGTGATTTCGATATTTTTAATATCGGAATCCTTCCAACCGCTATGCTGTCCGATTTCCAACAAATGGTGATTCAAGAAATATGATAAGACCTAACATCGGCAAATGTTCATTAAAAGGGAGAAACATGATGAAATGGGCCGTTTTGACATAGGAATTAGGGTAAGTGTTAGTGCTCAGCACAGGAATCCTGTCAGTTTTATCGGTAACAAAGGTTTAACCACGCGCAGAACTGCGCGTCAGCCAGAACTGGTTATAAAGAATCATGGTAGTTGCACTATAAGTGAAGCTTACATCGTATTGAACATATTGAGTCAAAGATTGTTGACTATCTGTATAAAAGAAAAGCCGGTGAGGAGAAAGATAAGTGCGGCGGAGCCCGCTCAGCAAATCCATTCTTTATCTCAGAAGAAGGCGTGCAGGCATCAGCCGGCAAAGCCGGTTTGTGTCAAACTATAAACGGGATCAGAATGTAGCTGCATACACTCTAGTTCGCGGACGCGGACGGTTCGGCGTGTCAAGCAGTATGAGTGTGTCGTCCCCCCTCCTCAAAGCCGTTCTGCTTTCTTGTTAAAGCTGGAAAACGAAGATTATGAACGATATGATACAGTCATATCATTTGCTCGCTCAACAACCAGTGGAGAATAGGTGTGGCACCGCGCCAAACTCATCCCGCCTGGCCCGCCCAACCGTCCGCAGCGAACTACAATAAACGTTATGTGGAATACCAATCTATCGAACGAAATTACTGAAGGGATTTGCAAGAAAGAGTGTAATGCAGGTAGTGCGAACTTTTGAAAAACATTACAGGTTTTCTCCCTCCCCCCCCCCCAAAGAGAACAGCGCAAAGGCAAGACACTGAGATTCTACAGCTGCGTCGCTTATTGCGATTGGAGCTATCGGTCCAATGCATAGTATTTTAGAGGGTATAACTTTCATTCAGAAACCATCTTTCGGCGAGCTCTAAGGACAGTTTAAGTTGTATAATTAGGGTCTATACTAAATACACTAAAAGTTTTATCAAGCTTGCATGACGGCTTCTGGCCAGAAAATAACGCGGAGAATTTCGGGCGACCACGAGTTCTTCACCTTTCAATGGCAATAGCTTCGTTCTGCTACGGAGGAGCGGGAGCTCACACGGCTTTGGGAACTAGTTTCTCATTTGAATGAGTCAAATTACTTTGCTGTAGCTTAATTACAGTGGAAATTCTCCTGTTGCGGAAAATCGCCAAAATAACGCGGAGATTTTTCGCAACGCAGGTTTTTTACATTTCAGTCAGGCCATAGCTTCGTTAAGACAACATAGAACGAAGTTCTACAGGGCTTTGGGAAGTAGGAGGTTTCACCTCCCTGACACAAGGCGCCATCTGGCTTTACTCGGATAGGCTCGCCGGAATTCATTTGAAATCTATTTTCAAGATTTTGCATGGGGATTGCCCGGCCCCCCTGCAAAAGCCCCATTTCCGTGTAGAAAGCTCGGTAGGCTTCCCGTACAGCTCCTCCTCATATTTCAAATTGGAATCGATACACAGGGGCGCTGGTCAATTCTTCCAGGAATGCGCCACGTACTCGACTTCCTTTTCGAACGCATCACCCATCCTGCAAGCTACGTCGATACGTGTTCAGTACTGATCTCTGCAAATACGACCCCCACCTCTTCTGAAGGGGCCGAATACGACTCCCCTCGTCGCGGATTCCGCGACGTATGCTTGTTCCTGGTAAGCCCTAGAAATGATCCCACCGAGGGTAGTGACGAAATATGCCAAGAGAATATTCCAATGCGGTGGTGGTGCAAGAATTTAGATAAGAAAACATTATATGGTACCAAACTAAGCTTTATCGGTTTCCAATGGTCCGCTCTTCAGGAACGAGTGCGGGAGCAGCTCAGTGAGATGTCTCGTCTCCAAGAAGAACAAAATGGGGAAAGTGCAAGCGAAACAAGTAGTGTAAGCAATAAACGTCGGCGAGGACGTCCGAGAAAGAGTAAAGAGGATGCCAGAGTGAGACTTTACATCTATCGGGGCTGCATAGGGAAAAATAATCACGAATTTTTTCAGTCATCTTTGAATAATTCCGCACCATCTGGTTCCCGAAAAAGAAAGAGCCGAGCAAGACGGTCTAGCTCAGAAAGCACGGGTGACTTTAGCCCAGATGAGGATGATTTGGAAGACGATGATGATGATGACGAGGAGCCCCAAGACGACCCGGATGACCCAGAATTCGAGCCTCATCGCAGGGTTAGCCGTAGGATACGGAAAGTGAGTCTGCTTCTCCTTTTTTAATTATTTCTTTGGTTACTGTCAGTACCAATTACATTTTCTTTGCATTTTAGCCCGTGAAAACTTATAATCAGAAAGTGCTCTTCAAGGAAGAAATGTCGAAGTCAAGGGAGTCATTTACAACGGTCAGTGTTTTCTCCTTCTCTTCTCTTAATATTCTTCTGATATTCGTCTAATAAACTAGTTATTTTTCAGAAAAGTCGCCCCCGTGGTCGCCCTCGTGGAGCAACCAAAAAGCGAGTTGATCCCACGATAACTGGTTGGCCAGAAGGAATCCCACCAGAACGGAAGAGGATGGGTGCTGGTTCGGATGCAAAGGAATATGATCGTTTAGTCAAGGTAAGAATAGGTTCGCTTTCTTTGGAGTACTCTCTCGTCCCATATTAGATCTTTCCAGTTGAGTTATCCCTTTCGCTTTTGGATCAGCTAGGATGACTTTTTCCACAAGCCTCTTTTACTAACAAGTTGACTTTGCCCCACATTTGTGACGCGCTACTGTGCACGCTTTCTTCGCTCACCGACATGAGGGGCGTGAAGAGGATACGGTAGTTCGGGGCTTCGCCTTAGCAGCAATCGCGAACGGCGTATTCAAAGACGCAGATCGGTTTCTCTCGATGTGTAGAACTCCATTTTTCGAAATATAGCCCGATCCAGAATCGTAGAAGTCGTTCTTTTTCCTGGCTCGAAGTGACTAAGGTGCCGGAAAGCTATCGCGAAGGTTGGGCTCCACCCACGGAGGCCATGCTCCGCCCCTTTGTAAAATCCTTTCTTGGTGATGTGATGTCTGTAAGCGGTGTCTTTGAATACGGAGTCCGCCTTCCCGGTGCGTAGAACTCCCTGCACAAGATAGCACGATCCGCAATCGTAGAAATTGTACCACTCTCATGACTCGGTGACAAAGTTGCCTGAGGAGTATTGCCACAGCCAGACTCCGCCCATGAAGGCCAGACCCCGCCCCTTTCGTTTTACACCTCATGTGGTCTTGTATTTATATATAGAGATTGTATTCTCTCACTACTTCGTCCTCTGTCCTTTGCGCGCACTCTATTTTTACCGTAATGTTTAGAACCCACAGAGTTTTCATTTGCGATGGTTTCTGCTTGACTTTTTTTTATTTCGATTTCGGTAATCCCCTCACAGCCAGTTTGTTCTTGAAAACTTGCTGCTCAGCAATATGCAATTGCTGACTGTTCCCTTACGTTATCCTGCACATGCATATCTTAGGACGATAAGTATCCCTGTACGAGGCAGAACTGCTACGCTCCTCGCCTGTGGTTCCGGATCCGATGCAGAGGCTTTACGTTGTCCGAGTGGACACCGTTGAAGCAGTTCAGAATGCTGGCGCTGGTTTTCGATTAATGACCAGTTGTGTCACTGATGATATGATGGTCTCTCTATTGTACGTGGACTTTTTTTTTGTCATGCGGTCGATTTTTCTTCAATTTTGAGTTTTTCAGCCATGTGACCACTGATAGGTACTTTGTGAACAACAGTGCTGAAGATGTATTGCAACTCGCTCAAGTGCTACGACATGTGGTATGTTTGTTTTCCGCATTGTTTTGCTCATTGTGTCTTTAGGTTCTAAAGAGAATTTTCCTTGAAACAGGATTTTTCTTTTTTTTTTCCTTTTTCAGATAAAACTGGGCGCTGTTCGGCTTGGAGGGGTTGTTTTGCACTCTTCGCTAGTTTTGTCAATTGATGTTCAATAACAGGTCTTACTTTGGTCAGACCTGTAAACTCCTGTGAAACTGCTCAAGAACCACTTTGGTCGCAGGAAATTACAGGTCCTCGTAGGGTCGTTTGTATGAACTCAAGAGTACTATCTGATGCCCCCACCAAGCCGTACTGTATCCAATACTGGCGAATTCGTTGATTCAACCCGTAGCGAAATACTCTATAACCAACTAAAAAGGCATTCCATGGATCTTTCTGGATTGAGAAGTTTTCATTTTTCTTCTCCTTAACTCTTGTGAAGCAAAGAGCAAACTAAAGTAGCAGAAGTGCGCCCCCCCCCCCAGCTGAACTGCGCCCAATGTTCTACTGGGAGGGGCATAGGCTGAACCGGTTGAAGGTTAGCATATCCATTATCATTGTCGTAAAGTGAGCAGTCATTTTCAGTGGAACATGTTGCCGTTGAAAACCCGTTTGGCTTGGGAGGAGGCAGCTCGTAAGCAAGCTTTGGACGCAAGAGTTCCCAAAGAAAATGAGGAAACGAGTGGTACGTTCGATCGCATGTTCCTATATGAGCTTTCCCTCAACTTTTTCTTGTTCAGAAAAAGAGAACGAAGCAAAAGCAGAAGAAGGCCCATCACGCAAGGAAACAATGCCTTTACGAGACTTCCCATTTGGCATGAAGTTCGAGCAGGGGGAAGGTAGTCCAAGCAAACTGCTTGCTAGTGCTCATGGACCTCATCCTGTAGATGCTGCAAGGAAAAATCGAGCTATTGAAAGCTCTTGTTGTTCTGTTAAAGCCAGCTGGACGACATTTATAGACGTTCAGGTGGGATGTTTTATCAGCTTCATTGGCTCTTATAGTTTTCGTATCCCACAATAATCGTATCCCACAACAATATGTCAATAATCAGTTCGTTATTCAGTCGCATATGATCGCTGGCCACTATGCAGCTATTTTCTATGGCTGTCATTTTTGTGGTGCTTTGTTCCCGTCAGTAGAAGCTCTTTTGGGGCATACGGATTGTACACGATGGACAGGAATGTTGCTGAGTCAAATGGTTAAAGATGGAGGCAAACAAATACGCAAGGTAAGGAATATTCAAAGCGTTGCGTTCATCTTTTTATCAAGTTTAAGGTCGATCTTTTTCGCGTAGTGCGTCTATTAAAAGGTTTCCTCGAGTGGAGTGGCGTTGCTGCTCGATTATCAGAGAGGAGTGTCCTTGGGAAATCAGCGGATCCACAAACGCAGAAGTCTACAGTAATTACTGAAGAAGCTTTGCGTTCTTCATTTTTCACCCACTATTCGATACGTGACATGGTCGCGACACACTTTCAAATTGAGCCCTCCCCCTCCCGCCCCCCAACCAAGATAGTATTCGGTTTTGAAGTCGAGGGGCCTTCACAAAGGTGATTTCAAAATGTACAGCTGGAATTACTCCGAGGAACGGCTCACCGGCCCCAGTCAAAGGCACGCCCCGCGTCCAAAAGGGATCAGTTGTGCGGCTCCAATACTGTTGAACACCGTAGTGAAGGAAAGGCACCCCCCCCGAAAACAAAAGGGCCCGAAATGCTTATATACAGAACCCTCGCGTTGTCATGCCACAAGGCAAGAAAGGAGCGTTAGACGAGTTCTCTTTTGTTTGTATATGCTCTTTGTCCTCATCACCTCATCCACAATTCGAAAAGGAGAGAGAGAGTTAGTAACGGAACAACTGCACTATCACTGAGCTCTCAAGGATGGAAGTTGAACATTGTCGTGGCCGGTGGGCGGGACCCTGATCTCATCGCGAGCGGGTCGCGCCCTCCTCAGGCATTTTCTAGCTGCGGAAGTGGTACATCCTGCATGCTTGCTGTTGGGACCATCATGTTCAAGGAAGGTGTTTGAGCATCAAGTGAACGCCGAGCGTGCCTTTAAGTCCCCAAACATAATTCCGGTGAGAGGGTGCAGTCGAGCGGCGTCTGTCACGTAGCCGTATAAGCGTATCGTAGGATTGACGATGGAGATAAAATGAACATAGACGTACCACAAGTCTCCATTTTTATTGCCAAGTACAGTGGCATATGTAGTACTTCTTCGCGGATACAGATATGCCCACATGCACGAGAAAAATCCTCCTGTCAGGTCATCGTGCACGTTGCCTTTACGATGTTTTTTGCACGTATTTTTTCGCAATCTTAGCCGGGATTTCTTGATCAAGGGGCACGCGCTTTCCTTTTAGGTTAGTTTGGCACTAAATCTGTATTGTAGGGGGATTCTTCTATTGTGTGGTTTATGACCTTGGAGTCCTGTGGCCAGATTGCTTTATTTTTCGACTGGCGGTTGACTGATTGATTAAATTTCATCTTTACAGGTCCAAATGAAGGTCGCTTATATGTTCCTAGTTTGCTCTGATTGTGGTCTTTGGCTCCCTATTAGAGTCAATTATCCTACAGATCGACTACCCAAAGCATGGAGCTTCTTCGCAACTGTCATGGTGAGCTTCCGTACTTATTACGGCCCCATTGGGTCCCTGGTAGCCTCTCTTTAAAATTTTTTTGTGCAGGAAAATCATACTTGTAAGAAATTGGTGCCTTTGTTGATATACATGGCAGAACTTATGGATGTTCCCTCTAGAGACGCTCGTGTTCTGATTCAGTTTGTTCCTTCGTTTATAAAGTAAGTTACACTGTTATAAAGTTTATCTGTCAAGCGTAAACCTTTTTGGCTAACAGGGGTGCATCTTCTGAGTTAGGTGGCGTTCAGACTTTGCGATCGGGTCGCGCGAGTGATTGAATCGCGAAGTCCGGACGCGGTCTCAGTCGCCTCATATCGCAGTTTGGGCTGCTTTTCAAGTCACTTGTCGTATTTAATAGTTGGTGACAAATTTAGGAACGGCGGCCATTTTTCGAAATATTTGGTTTTTTGTATTGTGGAGTGAAAATGGGTCATTTCCAGAGACTTCCCTTATTCCTGTGAAGAATGTAAGATCGATGCGTTTACTACACCAGATGAAATGGATCTGCACTTCCAGAGAGTCCATCATATCAAGTACAAGTGCACCAAGTGTGGAGAGTGTAGTGGCACTGAATTATTCCACAAGTAAGTTTTTGAAGGTTTTTTGTGCAGCTTGCCCTTGAGGGGCAGCGAATGGCACTCAGACTGACTTGTACAGGCCACCTTGTAAAAACCTGTAAATCCCTCAACCATGGTTGCTCTTAGCCGGTTGCGTAGTTGAGAGTTTACAGGTTCCGCCAGAGTGAGACTTGTTAGTCAAAGTGCAAAATGCCGCCTCCAAGCCGAAAAAATTTGCCTTCTTTCTGCAATTCCGCAGACGTGTTTCACGCCTTTGTTTGTATTTTTTGTTGTGAGGGTGGGAGGAAGGGGATTAAAGACTCATTATGCGATATTAGGCACGCTCTGATTGCAGGGTTTTTCTGTAAGAATTTTCTTGTGCTCTGACAGTGACTGAAGTCATTCGATTGATTTGAAATAATTCAGGGCCCACTTGTCAACTCATCTGTCTGACTCTCTCCTGCTTGCTGACTACCTGCGTACATCTTGCACGTTCCATCCTCCTCCTCATTGTGGAGAAGCTCCAGAAGTTGTGGGTTCTGATCAAAGAATTCCTGCCAGTGGTGGATCTACAACGACACATACCCACACATTGTTGGAGCACGATCTCGTGAGTTTTAGTCCATTTGCAGTTGATCTTGTCGTATCCACCAGGGGTGCCAGGAGCGTGTAATGAGCCCATCCTTGGTGTTTTCTACCTGTGGTTGTTTACCACTTGAACCGGCCGTTATTGGTGGAAAATGCAGCTGCGGATGTGAAACTGGGTAATTCTACACTTCCCGACACCAGCCCGCCTGATTGAGACGAAACAAACTAAGATGTCATCATGAGTCGGTGTAAGTCAGCTAGTCTTTGAAAAAGAGTTAGGGCAAAAAGGGAAGTAAAGTACTCCTTTCTTCCCCCGCTGCGTCTCCATAGAATCTACAAACTGAGAGATCTTGTGTTCTAACGACTCGCGTACTATCCGGAAACGCTAGCGGGCGGAGTTAGTCCATTTTTGTCGTCGGTTCCCCCGCCGTAGACTCCCGGTGCGAATATAGATGAAACTTTAAGGGCTTTGTGTGTGGTGTAAAGTTCCCTAATCTTCCCACCTATTCTATCTGAGATATCCTATACTATCTAGATATGACCTACTCATGGTGTTCAAAATTTTGAAAGATTTGGTAAAAATAAAAGTAGAGGACTTCTTTTCTATGTTACCGTCCAACACAAGAGGAGCATCGATCAGATTAAATACTACCGTGGCGAAAACTCAAATCAGATCAAAGTTTTTCTGTAATAGAGTTTGCTCAGGTTTTAATAACCTTTTACGGGCAAATATTTTTCCGCAGAAATATGTAACCTTTAAGAAACGTATTGATGTGTTTGTTTAATTTTTTGTCTCTAGCTTCATCAGAAATTGTAGTTCTCCTAATTTCTACTCACATGTTCTTCAACATGTCTACAGAATAAATAAATAGAGTGAGACCCTGAGAGGGCGTTCGCACTCCGCAATCCGATCGCTCGAATCGCGAATTCGAGTGGGGTCGCCTCAACACAGTGCATGAAGGCGGTCCAATTTGAAATCTGCCGTATCGGCCGCGCACAGTTTGGCGGTGGAACACTCCCGCTCGCAATTGCGTAGTCCAATCGCTTGAGCTATCTGGTCGCGCTCCAAGCGATTATATCGCGAAGTATGAACTCGCTCCGCTCCGGAAAGGTGAAGAAAGTCAGCCGTTGTTTTGAGCTTACTCAAGCTACGAGCTATGGGTCTCGCTGTTTTTTGAAAATTCGGGCAGACTTTGCTGCTCGGGAACAGCACAGTATTCAAATGAATCTGTTCTGAAATGTGGTAGAAGCAAAACCACGGCTGTGGATGTTATAGTCCGGGATTCTTGATCCTTACTTTCTGTGATAAACTCCCAGGAAAATTAGGACCTCTGGACTCTGGGGACTTCTCCGTTTGTCCTGTGCTTGTATATCCCAGAAGAGACGACTGTAAATTCCATATGAAATTATCATTTGGATGAGGTGCCTTTTGGATAGTCGTGGTTTCAGATAAGCCATTGCGAAGAGATGACCGAGCTAAAAATTTTGAACAGCTTGGAAAATGCAAAAATCGCCGGAAATTCGTCAGAAGATGAAACTGATCTTGAGGAGGTATCAGATCCGTGTAAACGTGAGTCCTTTGTCACTTTGGAATTTTGGCTATCACAGGAGTTGTAAGCGTTAATTTCTTTCCACGGGCTCGGATCTCTATGCAGAACAATTCTGTTTCGAGATACCTTTTCCAACTTCTTTTTTCTTGCAATCTCGCCATAGTTAGTTATATCCTGTGTTGGTTTTTTACGCGCCTTACAAAGTTAACAGATGGAATTTTTATTTAAGCGGCTAACTTTTCGATTGAATTATCGCTTTTGGTGTTCAGGGTTCCATGTTTCGAGGCAAAGTTCCGCGGCCATACTTCAGCGTTAGCAACAAGCAAGCTTGTTATCACTTAAGCGTGAACAGTCTTGCTTCTTACTAACGCTAGAGGTGGTGGCGGAGCTCTCCGCCCATGGGTGGAAGTCCTGGACCCCAAAGACGACGACTCGGTCGAACTCTTGGCCGCTTGTATAAATGTTCTGCCTAACAACCGCGTCAGGCACATAAAAATGTTACGCCGGATGCAACTGACTATGCAGAAGTTGCAAGAAGAGAGAACCTAATGAGAGCCTCTGAAGCAGAGCTCTTCAGAAGGCAATGTTCAGACTTCGAGACGACGCACGAACGCACCAGCAGGCGAGCTGTTGTAAGCGTAGCGCGTCATGCGAAGTCTGAAGCAGCCGTAGTGAATTTAGTTGAAATGTGGAACAAACGTCCAATGATACCTAAGTTGCAGATCGCGTTGATGCAGCTTATGAAAACTTTGACTACAGAGCAAGAGAAGGAGGCGAAGAAAGATGTTCAACGAGTTTTTCCACAAGGTAAAGAAGTTTCGTAATTTACACTTTAAAGCTAAGAGTATAAGGTTTTCGGCGTCTAGAGTAAATGGCACCAGCGAGCCCGAGGATGCCGTTTTGGATTGGCGAACTCGTGTCAATGATCCTGTAAATACAGTTCTGATGCTCAGTAATCGTGCTCCTAAACGTATAACAGTGGCAGTGAGTGGATTTTTGATTAGTTTTTTCTTTGCTTATTTCCGCTACAAATCAATAGTTGTTGTGAATCAGTGGGTCAGTAGTTGTTTTCAATTTTGGCAAAGTAAGATTTTAATGTTTAGCCAGAGGTTTTTTGCCCCGTGTTTGACCAACTTAGCTTGATTTCAGACCTCGCTTCCGGCCGATAACTTTGCGTCGTTATTGGTAGCCAAATTCACAAAACGTATCTCACTACCGATCTCTGCCTGTATGGAACTTCTGTCAGGCAATTTATTCCTCAAAAGGTTTGCGATGGCTATTGACTGATTATTTTTTTTTGCTTCGTCTCCAGTCCAGCTTTAGGAGGGGGTTTACCAAATTATTGTTTCTCATTTATTTTTTTTTTTCAGATTCATGTTCTGCACATTTTGTAACACCATTGTGACGACACCGTTAGGTATCGAAGCGCATAACAAATCGAAATGTGGTGTAGAAGGGGTCAGTTTCATGTTTTTGGCTATATCTGTTCACGTTATTGGTCACATTTGATATCGCCACAATCAGTCGGCGGAGGGGGGGGGGGGGGGGGAGGTGGTGGGGAGGGGTCGTCAAAGAAGCATGGAATACAGCTCACCCATGGCGATTTTCCTTCCTGACGATGCCGACTAATGCGACTATACTAAGCATCATCGAATAGTTCGTAAGCTTTTGCAGGAAAGGGGTCCAAAATAGCCCTAGAAGTTGTGAGTTGTTCGAGCAAGCTAAGTAAAGCTATGTCTCTCGTTGGTTTCAGACTTGTCCTCTCTTGTATTGTCCGGCCATGGCCTGTGAAACTCGCAGATTGAATGCCCACTGTGTTCAACGAAATTGTGCTCCATTTCGGCTATGAGGGGCCATATGGCCATACAACACGGTGTTTACGTTGAATACAAGAGTGTGACTCAGACGACAGCATGCGTTTCGGAAAGCAGTAAGTTGGCTGTTTCGTTGCTTTATAGGGAAATCCGCCATTGCTTTTCATAAGACCTGCAACTTTTGAAGACATGTCCGACAGTTGTTTGAAAGATTTGCAGTTATTTGAAAAAAAATTACATAAGCGGCCTCGGACGGAGGGTCGTAATTCGCGCGCTCCGTCCCGTTGTAATTGTGTTAGCGTTGCTCAGACCCGCATTAGCAACTACACTAGACATCGTGGGCATTTTGTAGCATATTTTTGATTAGGACGTCGCCAAGTTATTATCGTCCTCTACCCTAAAAACTCGCCATTTCAGGCGGCGATGTCACGCGACGCGTCACTTGTAAGCGCGAGAGCCGTCTACGTATCTGTCTTGTTAATGCCCCTCTCTCACTCGCTAATTGTCTGGCTAGGTCAGATTGCAAGGGTGTTCCGCTGTCGCTTCTCGTAAAGCTGTGATGGGAAGCTGCAGTGGTATAATTGCTAGACTTTTCTTGGGTTCTGCCGCCTATTCGAGTACGCACATTCTATGCTACTTGTAGTGCTGCTTGCCTGCGTCCTCTCACCGAGAGCAGTTGTTCACCGGTTTGATTAAAGTTGGTGAGGTATCTCTTGGAGAGGTTTCTGATTTGAGACCCTGAAAGGGGGCCTTGACTGCCTCACTTATAAATTGCTTGGTATTTTTATCTGGTTTTTTACTTAGACACTGGTGAGAGGACATAACGAGATGAGCTTTTGTGGCACGGCTGGTTCGGACATATCGTAAAATGAGGGAAGGGGGGGGGGGGGCAGAGCCCTAGAAAGAACTAGGGTAGTCAAAGCTTTCTGGCTGTCTTGCCTCACGCTTCCGAGTGGCAGTAGTGCCGCAGTCTTGCAACTGTTGGCTTCACTGTACCTGGTAAGACCCAAGCAATCACCTCTCTAGTATTGGTTGAGTGTGTCATAATAAGTTACTTCTCTGCGCGTTTCCTTTCCGCGAACAACAATATTAGTTTCATGTTTAGATGCAAGTCTACAAGAACTGGCGTCTCGTTACCCAGACACCAGGTCGGCGGTAGCTCGTGATACTGATAGCGCCCTTTGGCTACGTTTTGGACTGTTGCAACCGAAGACGCAATTCGACATGCAGCTCAAATTGGCCATGAAGTGAGTCATCGTTAGATTATCAATATTGAGAAAATTCACGTATTATTTTCTTTTTAGGGGAATCAGGGTATCAGGTGCAGATCGAAAAGATGGTCAGGCTAGCGGTGGCTAGTCTGCAAAAACAAGCAAAACTGCCCCGAAACAGTACAAGCGCGATTTCCATACAAGTTCGGTCGGCACTAATTATTTTCCCGCATTGAGTAGTATTAATTCAAAAGCTCGGCAGCAGAACCAAAGAAGACCGAGCGATCAGCATCCACAACACACAGACCGGACCAGCAATCAAAACCTTACTCAGCACTATATCAAGCCATTTGTGCTGGTCAATGTAAGTCTGGAATACACAGGTTTCATTTGGCTTTTGATTTATTGATTTCGTGTCTTCAAAATAGCTCGCGATGCAGTTCTGTGCCCACAAACAAGTAACATGCTCAGCGATGAGGGATCATTTTAATGTCAATCACGTTCTTGTGTGGCCGTGCTTGTGAAGTAGTTTCTTGTTTCCGTTTTTTACATTTGTTTTTACTAGTGGCTCATGAATGCCCACGTATGTGACGGTTTTCAGATGGGTTTGCTCACCGCGAAGCGTTGACACGGCACGGAAAAATGGGACGTTGTTCGATGTTCTTCAAAGGTATTTACTGAATTTTTTTCCCATTTCAGAATGCGGGATCCTTCCAGGTTGATAACTGGTCACAATTAATCTGTATCATTGGCAAGGTTTTGGGGATGAGGGCGCCATTATGTTCGGAGGGGGCACTTACATCATTGTCAGTTCTTCCGTTAGATGATGTTAACTAACGGGTCTGGCTTTGGTCAAGCCTGTACACTCCTGTGAAGCTGTGAAGTTTTAAGTGTGAGCTATTTGCTCAAAGGAATTTGCAAGTCCTCACAGAGTTGCCAGTACACGATTAGCCAGGTGCCATTCGGTACCCACATCAAGCCGAATTGCGCCGACTGGGTTTGTTTCACAACGTCGAATTCCGGCCTTGACCATGTGGGCGGTATGTGATAGTTGGCACTTTCCTTATTGGTGCACTTTTTTTTCTATGCTAGCTCAGAAAGGTGATGCTAAAGAATGATGGAAAGGGTTCTGCTTGTACAATGAAAGTAATTTACCCAAAATAACACAGTTGGAATGTTTTATGTCTGAGTCCTATAGAAATGAGATTTGCTTGGGAATTTCAGTAACCAAGTGTTCTGCTCACTGTAAGAGCGCTATTTCAGATGCGGTTGCGTCAGTAAGTACTCTCGCTGATTTGTGAGTTGTGTGCAAGAAGCGGATGTATCTGGCAAACGGATAGCCTTCATCTGTTCGTGAACATTCAGTTCTTGTGGTTACGGCACAGTTCTGGACGCAGGCAGGTCTGCTAACCGTTTCGCGCTCATGGAAAGATCGGATTTTTGGACAAATTATTGAACCCGGTTCCGAAGGTCTATTCCAAGGAGGAATCAAAATCTGCATATCGATGCAAGTCTTGGTGAAGCGACAAATGTTGTAAAAGATTCCGTCATCTACTCACCGTCAATCGATCAACAGCATTCGAAAGAGCGAAGTAGCCGTGATGTGGTTGTGTATAGTAGACCATAAGCACCACGTAGTTCATATATGTTCTCGAATTTAAACTATCTCTTATGTGGCAAAGCGGTGTGGTGGCAGGTGAGCACTTACCACGCGCGGGGGAGGGGTGAAACCTCTTATAAGCTCTCGCCGGGCCAGCAAATCTTCTAACCTCCGGGACTGCCTGATGGGCTGGACCCCGTAAGTCATTGTATAGGCCACAGCGCCTTCAGTAAGCCACGGCGATCGGAATGGAAACAGTATGCCCACCGCATCCCAAAAAGGGACAGTTACCGTGAGGACTTATCCTTTTATTTTTTATTGCGCTTCTTTAAGGTGGTCTGTTCGTGTTATCTGTGCGGTATGGAGATGGTTAGCCTTGAACAGTTGCAAAGGCATCTCAGTAAACACACCGAAAAATGGACGAGATGTCCATTCTGCTATGGTGAGTATAGTTAAGCCTGATTTTCTTGCTTCAGATTATTCTCTGACGGAAGGAACAGCTAGCTCGTGCTTGCTTTACGATATATTACGCGGTACTTTCGTTGTGGGAATCATGTTCAAAATTAGAGGCTGAATGTCTTGTTCAAGGCGAGAAAAAAACCAAAGAAGAAGTGAAAAACTCTTTGAAAAAGACTTCTCTTGGCGCTAGAGACTTCGAGCTGTCTTTGGAGCTTACGGCAAGGGATAGCTTAAGCGCTCGGATGAGACTGCGAATTATTCGGTGGTGGAAGGAGCCTCGACAACAAGATCCCTCTCCCCAGTACAGTCTTTAAGTGGGCGGTCCTCGATCGTGACCAGATCGAGAACCGTGAGTCCCGCCGCCTTTGTTAGGTACATAGGAGTAGTGAAAATGGAACAAATTCCGTGGTTGCGGATCTGTCCACCTTATTCATGATAGGGATTGTAGTCCGCGTATAATCGTGGGATGTGCCTTTACCTCGTGCAGTACACGGAAGAAGTGTTTTTCGAACAGCGCCATTCCTTTTTATATGATTCTCTGTTTTGTTTAGATTACGTACCCATTCCAAGTCATGAAGTAATGAAGGCTCATTTGATGGAAAGACACATGCAAAAGAGGGATGGTTCATGGGTGAGTTTTGTGCTCTGGAAAATTTGTCATTGGCGCTGTTCAGCTAGGTAGATTTGTATGCGTCTGTTTAGTTTTTCTTTGCTGGGCTTTCCTAGTTAGAGCGCGGTGCATATTCGGTCCCATCGCCGCGATCGAATCACAGAGCGTTTTCCTCGCGCCGATCAGATGGCGAAGTATGAACGCTCTTCAGAATTACGCATCCCTTCTTGATAAGACCTGTAGATTTCTTGTCAAGTGTAAACGAGGCTCATGCTACTGCTTATAGCTTTGCAGAAATTTACCGGTCTTTACAAGAGAGATGAGCGGTGATCAATGGAACCGACCAAATGCCATACCAAACCGAACTGCACCTTTTTATTTCTCGAGTTCTCTATCTCATTTCAGACATAGTCGATATTGTCAACGAATGCTGGTACGTGGCAGTTATGCGCATCTATTGTACATGTGCACCCAAACGCGGAAATGTGCCCTATGTCGTGGAGAGCAGAGCGTGAAGAACGCTGCTGAAATGACTGTTCATTGGACGAATAGGCACTTGGATATTTTGCGAAGGTAAGGCAGCTAAAAATGGTTGTATTCTTTGCGTCGGCTTTTTCAGCCTATGCCAGCGTTTAAGTCAGTAGGAAAGTATGGGTATTGATTTCTGAGCGAATAGGAAGCTAAAAGGGTAAAAGGATAAGGTCTTCTTGATCAATTCCTTTGTGGGATGTGGCACGCATTCTACTTCCATTCAGAATCGTAGTGCTCTGTTGAATGCGACGTGGTCTATAAAATGACTTGCGGGAGCCAGCCAATGTACAAATCACTTTTATTATCCTCCCAGACAAATCTCGTGTCAATTTCCGCGTACCCGGAGGTAGGAGGCTTGGTTGGCCGACGTCGGGAAGATCGACTCAGGATTTGACCCGGTGACGCGCGGCGAGATGGATGAGTTGGCCACTGTCACTACACCACCTGCCCCAATAGGAAGGTTTGGGAATTGATCTTGCGTTTTGAGCGTACGCCAGCGTTTTCAGCGACTGCCCGCGAAAATTCAAAGCACCCGCGAAAACGCTCAAGACGCTGGATCTCGATACCTGCATTTTTTTATTCACGGGTCAAACGCTGCACTGACACCTTACTTTCCATTTCGTTCCAAAACGCTCCGTGCGCGGCCAAAATGCTGACGAAAAGATGAACGCTATGCGTTTCACAATGTATGTTGATCACTATTAAGTTGCCAAGGGTCCTTAACTGCTCATATCACGTTTGTTTTAGGATTCCAATGTTCCGATTGTGGCATGACATTCTGTCATGTCGAGGATTTCTGGGCGCATCAGTGTCGTTCATACTTTATGCAGCAGAAATGCAGTTGTGGCTTGATACGGTAAGGTTATCGGAGCTTAATGCTTACAATGTGGACTGTTTTAACGGAGCAATTTAGGTGTTTTCGTCACGAACTGCTTTCCTCTTGCATTTCGGAATGCATATGGATGAACCAAATATGACGTGTAAATTATGCAAATTCAGGTTTGCATCTCGGGTAGCTTTACAGGTAAGTTACTCCAGTTGGTTTCAGGACTTTCAGGAGTGAAATGATTTCTTTTCTTCAGAATCATCGGCTTTCCCATGCGATATTGATTAATAGTTCCAATGGCCGTCAGCTAGTTATACTGGATACAAAACTGGTGGTGCCGGAGGTAGTTGCTGGACTGTTTGTCGTAAACTATTTGCCCTCTCTTTGTGCTTGGTATATTTGTATGAAAATGCGTTTTGTTTCAGCACCTTGATGACAAGCGGGTGAAACGTGTCAAGGAGGTCGAGCCATTGTCTGAAGAGAAACGATGTGAGTTTAAAAGGCAGATAAGATTTGCTTTTATTTGTACAATCGCGAACCCTTTTAATTCTATACGCGAAAGCAACACGCCTGTGCGAAAGCTTTTTCCTTGTGAACCTTTCAACGCGATGGTATGGTTCATGACAACGCTGCACCATTTCTTGGCTAGTTGACCTGGAGGTGATCACCTGTTTGTCATCATGACAATCCCTTTACTGTATTTATTTTTCTCAGTGACAAGCCGCAGCACTGCCACGTTAGACCAGTTGTGAGAAATGAAGTTGCAGTCCTGTTCGCTGCGGATGGTGGGCCAGTAGGGATGCCTTCCGCGGCGCAAATCAACCAGCTTTCAACGGTGTTATTGAAGCGAGCAAGCGGCAAGCAATATTGTCGTTCGTTTCGTTGTTTTCAACGGCATTTTTGTTGCTATTCCCGGGAGCCTTAGAGCTTGTGGGAAGCGAGGCTGGCGCTGCCAAGCCTATCCCTCCTGACACGCCCCTTCATCCGCAGCGAACAAGACTATGACTCTTTCTGAACCTCTGGGTCTCATCCCTCAAAAAAGGGGTGCTCAAAGAATAATCATAGTGACAGTTCACCCTCATCCCGATGATGTACGCTGCTTAGGCTCTCAGATTACCATGAAGCACGTGAAAGAATAATAGTCATAGGTGTTTTGTTTAGTTAATATGGACATTGCGATGACTATGCGACATTTGGTTCGTAGCGTTTGTGAGCAACTCGGCGAATCATACGATACTGCAAAAGAATCTTCGGCCACAATTGGATGCTGCTGCGTTAGATGTGCCAGATGATGACATAATTGAAATAGGTAAAATTAATGATTATCTGTGTAGCGGTACTAATTGATGGGACTTCTTTGTTCAGATAGCCCTAAAGTAGACGATGATCTTGTCGAGAGCGTCGACACAACGCAGGCTGCTCTTTCGGCTGAAGTACGAGTAGAGGCTGCTGATGGTGTAGTTGATGCCGGATCGGGAATGCCTGGTTACGTGGAGGATGACGAGGATGATGCGATTGATGCATCACTTCGCTGAGAGTGGACGGCAGTTCATTGACATGAAAGGAAGCAGTCTTCAGGGTACATCTGTAGTCGGTTGATGAAACATAGTAAATAACTTAATGAAGGGCGTACTTCGAATGAATCACTAACTACTCACTCTCATCTGCTCACGCTCACGAGAAAATGCATCGCTAGCGCCGCCGTTGCTCGAATCTCATCGTCGCAAGATCCGACAACATCCGCACGACGAGGACTTTGAAACGTCGCTCTGCGTCCGCGCACGGGGGGGCACCACACACCCGGCGGACACAGTTAAGACATAGATCAGCCACAGATCTATGATCGCTCTTTTTATTCTCTGTAAATCCTGATCTCTAATATCGCTATCAGTCAGATACTCACTCACTCACATATGTCCACAAACAGTCGTCGCTCACCACAACGAAATAGCGATATAGAGATTCACCTACGACAGCACACAGACGGAAAAACGGCGCGCCATGTGCCTCGTGAGAAGAAGCTTTAAAATGTTTCAAATGCAGCTCTTGGCATTATTACTTCGTATGCACATGCGACGGACTCATGAGAACGTTAGCAGCACATCAGTCGGGGATGCTGGAGGGATTTGCGACAAGGTAGGAGTTGGAATCGAGTTTAACTCAGACCCGATGCTGAACCGAGTCCTAGGTTTCCTTTCTTGCCAGGTAGTGGGGTGCGGAATTACAAAGACAGTCACGCTATCGCGGCTCTCTGATGATTGACAATGGTGCTGCGGCCACCACCGGTTGCAGTTGTATACGGTAGTTCGTACGGTACCGTACATAACTGCAACTCGTAATGGCCGCGGCACCTTTATCGGTCATTGTGGAGCAGCGGAAGTCAGACAGTATTTGTGAATATGGGCTGCACTACTTGGACATGGAAGGAACCCTGCCAATTGGTTAACCGCTGGGCCTATTTTTTTAAGAACATGACATTCTCAGTGTTGCTATTTAGGTATTCGGTGTACCCGTGCGAGGATTCTTTTTCATTTGCCGTAATTGCTGTGCTGCTTTCGAAAGTCAACAGCTGTTCAAGGTTCATCGGGTGAGTGATCTGCAGGATAAGCTGTGTGTTTAGTTCAAGTGCCAATAAAGAAAAACACAGTTGTTTAATCCAGCTGTATTAAACAGACGTACGGCAGTGTGCAGCATCGCATGGGTGAAATGAAGCACAGGTGTGGGTGAAATGGTGGTGTCAGCAAGATCCTCTGGAAAATTCGTCCTGTGATAGACTCCCCCCCCACCCTTTCTCATCCTGCGTGCCATCTTGCTAGATTCTTCGAACTCCTTACTGGTTCTCCAGAAAGTTGATTAATTTTTGATTAAAGTTTTTCTTTATAACTGGCATCGAGAGGGGGTGGAGGGATGAGAGGTTGGGGTATCTTTTCTTCCAATCGACGAAATTTTCCATTTTGGAAAACTCTGGATTCTTTTGAACGCCTCCCTCTGAAACTGTCCCGATTGAGCATGTTAATATTTCAAGTAAGATGAGTAGTGTTGATGATTTGGGCCAAGAATGAACGAGAGAGAA